AGTTTAACCCAGTTTATTCCTGGCAGCTGAGGAGGCTGGTCACGACAACAGCCCACGCAGCTTGGCCACAAGACCCGGTAGAGCGCTTCGTTGAATTCTCGTTTCTCTGACGGATGGCCGCCCTAAGTGTCTCGTGGTCCCTCAAGCGTAAGATTTCGCAGAGACTTAGCTCATCAGGTCGAAAGCTTTGATCATCAATATGTTTTTTTAGCTCAAAGGTCTTTTTGATGCTCTCTTTCTAGGTTCTTCCCGAAGTGTTTTGACTCGTATGAAAGTCTGGCACGGAAAAGTGAGCCTCTTGGCCGTCATCAGGAGACCGGAATTAGTTACGGCGGCCTCGCAGTTCGTTTCGATCTTGAGCTGCAACGTTCAGTTCAAGATATTTCGAACTCCCTGTCTCCAGCTCTGAGCCAAAATGTGAATGTGTAAGCTGTCGTCCAGGTGTTCGTTTCATGCCGGTGCTGCACCTCACGCGACAGCTGGTCGCAAGGCTGGGGAGGGAGACCCTGCGCAGTCCGAGGTCCGTTGATAAGAAAGCTGTCAGACATGCCATTCCGTTCCGGATCTTTGCCATCATCATCGTAGTTGTCGTCGTACAGGTAGCCGGGAGTAGTAGTAGCAGAAGTAGAAGAAGTGGACATGAGAACAACAACAACAACAACAACAACAGCCACAACAACAGCAACAGCAACAGCAACATCAACAGTAGCTGCTTGACTAATCCTCAGTCTCATCGTCGTATCAGTTTCGGTAGACAAACATGCAACGAATATGTAGACGAAAAGTTTTGTGCAGAAAAAGAGCAGCCATAAACAATAATGCCCTCTGGAAGCATAGCGACCTGCCGATACCGTGTCTTCAGATGATGGGGATGACGATGAGACTCACTGTCCGATCTCTCGAGGCATCTGCGTGAGGTCACCATCAAGGCTGGAAAGGGAACGGGACGTGTGGGGAAGTGAAGGGACTCTTCCGATAGCTACCGCATTAAGCACGAGTTAGCTTCCCCACACTGTTTCGTGCACCTATTACAATCCGTGTCACTGTGTCATTCTGCCTCACTGCTCCCACCCGAAACACGTGGCGGGTCGAGTTTCGGCCGAAGGAGATTCCTTTCGGTTGCAACCCCGAAGCCTGAAACTCTGGCACCATGCCTCGTACTCCAAACCTATGACTTTAGGGCACTGCATGCGCCGAGAAGCTGTGACAGGAGAACAACGTGCTAAATCAGCTCAAGTTCAACAAGGGTGAGGCTGCCCTGGGCGCTGAAATTCTGCTCTCCAGCATGGGTTTCGGGTTAGGGCGGGCTTTCGCGGCTGAGAGGGTTTAGGCGGGAGGTTTCGACAGGCTCTAGTGCTCGCTAGCGGCTTTCTAAGGCTTGTAAGGGTTCGGCGATAAGGATTTCATCCGGTTGCAAGAAGAGTTTCTGCCGCCCCGCACGAAAACCACCAGGTCAGCAGGGCCTTGGGGGCCTGGTGTTTGGAGGATCGCACGAGACATATGCCTAAGATGGATTGAATGACCCCCTAACCGACACCCAGACCCCGGGCATTCTAGCAAGAAGCGGCATGAAATCAGGCCGGAACCCACGAATCCACCACGAAAGCTGAATCCTAAAAGCAAGGTCGAGGCCCTGCAGTCTTAAGTTCCCGTGGAAGTGTTTCCTCCACGGGGCCGGCGTCCTCATCCAGGTCCGGGGTGTGAATCAGCCGGGAGCCCGCGCAGCTGGCGGGTTCAGGAGTTCGGGGTTTTCCTCGTTTACGATTCGCGGCAAGTTCGAGGCTGGTGCAATGACATCCGGGGCTAACAAGCTCCAGTTGGACATCCCTGCCAGTGTTGCCATCGAGACGGACGATGACGAGCTGAGCCCGAACGGGGTCAACGCGCACGCAGCCGCCTCCTGCAGGGCCTTCGCGGAAGAAGGAAAATCCGGGACATGCAGCTTCCCCCCCCGAATGCCCAGCTTCAGGCCATGCTGGCAGAGCAGGCCCAGATGTTCTTGGCGCAGCAGACGAGCCAGCTCGATGTTGGAGCAGGCACTGGCAAACTTGACTACTTTGGTCCACGCCGGTGGAGGGACCTCTGCTGCGCAACCTGTCAAAGAGAGCAAGCGAATTACCATATTGACGGAATTGACAGAAGGGCTCTCTCGCTGGATCTTCTACCGTGGTGCGAAAATCACCAGCTCACCACCCTACCAGCAGGCCACAGGAAGGGAGGAAAGGGAACATCATCGGCTACCTTTGCTGCTGTATAGGGTTGGGTGCGACTCATTTCGTGTCCACGTTGACTCCTGCCTTGTCTTAGGAGCTCCTTGAGGGTGTCTTCGCCGTTCGTGACGTCACCGAATGGCAGAGGTTTGAAACCAGGCCTCGAGTATGGACGGTGGTCTTGGACCGGGTGGACCATCTGGACCAAAAGGTGCTCAAATGACTCGCGCAACATCATTCGAAGCCCAGACCCGGGAAGGGCTATGTGGACCCGAAATCGGTCAAGGAACAAAGGCTTCTTGGACCGAGGTCGAAAAGGCGTGCCCGAAACAAAGCACGATACGGTGGGAGGCAGACCGTATCGCAAGAGCCTCCCAAGGGGATTGGAAAGCACTCCGCCAAAGCTGGCCAACGGGGAGATATGGATGGCAACAGGGTTTGCCGAGGCGGATATCAGGGGCCACATGAGAGGATTCAACGGCATCTTGCAGAGGTCTACCATGGTCCCGGCATCTTGCAGAGGTCTACCATGGTCCGGTCGCTGCACCCGACTCGGGTGTCTTCCCTGGGGAGATTAGGCTCTTTTCCGGATTTGTTGAACCTCACGCTTCATGCAATTGCACTCCACGCGTTCCCAGTGCGCAGGGCCAGGACGACAAGTGGCCGGACATCTTCTCCATCTGGAGAGCCTTGGAACTCGACAGGGAGTGGAGATCTGGACTTTGCGTGATTAAGTTGGACGTGGTCACGGCGGTCAGTTCCGTGCGCAGAGAGAAACTTCTCCCCCAAAAACTCGGCGATCGCATGGGGCACTGCGCTGAATCACGATGCTGGTCGGGCCCCCCTGCAGAACAATGAGGCCAGTCTCCAATCACCATGGAGTTTCTTCATGCCCCAACAGCACACAAAGAGAGAGCTAGTGAGACCAAAGTAGTGAGAAATACATTGTAGCTCGGCTTCCGCCCATGCGGTTGTTTCGATCGTCTCAATTTTGGTAATTGGCGCCAGGATCCAAAGCACCTTCAGGAGAGTCTTGATACGATTCTGCCACATCCGGACTTGCTCGGAGGACTCACCGTGATAGCATTTTCCTTGGAGGAGAAGGCAGGGAGGCAGCTCCACTCGTAAACACATTGAAAAGCTGTGTGTGAATGAACTGCGCGCAACCTAGTTCCGTAGAGGGTTAGCGGCTGGAGCTGCTGGAGCAAAAGCTCGGGCAATGCGGGGAAGAAGTGCGGGTGAGGGTAAGGGTGCTCTAATCTAGATGTCTTCGGCAACTAGCCGGCCAAGTT